TATTAAATAACGGTAAAGTTTAGTAGAAGATAAATTTAATAATAAGGAAAGAACGAATAAAATATTTTTAGATCTTTGAACAATTTTAGTAACCACATATCTTAAATTAAAGATTATGGAAACAAAAAAAAAATTGGGGGATAATTTTAGAATAAAATTCTAATTATAACACAAAATATTTTCGAAAAATGTATACGCAGGGTGAGTTGTGGACAATATTTTGCATAAGGTTGATTATAATCGCCAAGATATGCTATTTTTAGATCTTAATGTTTCCGTTTCAATTTCGAAATTAAAATTATATTTTTCTATTGACAAAAAAATAAGTTATATTTGAAATAAAATCTTGAGTGATATATAGCGTTACTTATTGAAAAATAACACCATAGCAAGTAAAATATGTGCCTCTTTCGCTATTCTATTCATTAAAACAATTGAGACCCAAAAAATCTGAGTCTTGAGTTCTCCCAATGGAGGTAGGTCACCATTTCCTTCCCATCTCTTATTGCGACAATTTCTGCGGAGATAGTTTTGAAGGGAGGCCGATTATCTTGGCATGTCATATAAGAGCCCCTAGTTGAGCCTCGTTATTTGATATTTTCCCATCAGAGAAATTCTAAATATTTTGTATGACGTTAAACTAGCCTTAACCATGTTTGTTACATGTTATTCAAATCTGGAATTGTTTTTATATATTGATACGATCCGCAACGGCTTTCTATGGGTATAAGAAGCATGTCTAGATTATCTGTTTTAGATAGAATCGCAAGAGGCATTCTATGCCTGTTAATTTCATTCACTATTTACAATTCCCTGGGATCCCACTTTGAATTACCAATTATTATTGCTTCAAAAGCCCCCAAATCTAAGTCATGCATTCATAAATAAGTTTGTCAACTAAATCTAAACTCTATTTTCATATTTTGTAATTGCCTAAAATTATTTCGCATTTTTATAACAATTAAAATTCCAATGTGGTTGGGAAAATCTCTCCAAATTTATTCAATAAATTTTTTTAACATTTAAAGTACAATTTTATTAGAATTTTTGTGGTTGTGACTCCAGAACAGAAAATGTGGAATTGAATTTCTTTTAAATTTTTTTTAAATGATTTTATTAGCGCACAATGTAATCCATTTAATACATTTTTCTTATATATTGGTATTTGTGTGTGTTTGATCTAATTTTAATTAATAAGCTGGATAAGTTACGCTCGTATTAACAAACACAATTTTTATTTTTATATAAGAAAGGAAAAACAAAACCAAAAAAATAAATAATAAAATCATTTCTTTTCCTTTTTAAAACCCTTTTAATGGATCAATTTGGGATCCATTATTCACAATTCTTTTTTTTATTCTCGTGCAATTTACGAAATTTAATAGGAAATCGAAATCTCATGTATATACGTAGCTTCCATATGCATGTACAATTTCAGTTTACCAATGCTATATAAAGCAAAATTAATGTATGTGTGTATGTAAGTATGTATGTGTATAGCTATTTATATATAAAAAATAAAACTTTATTTTATTTCCAAAACATGAAAAAAAATGCTAAGTAGTTTCGTTCGTCCGTTTTCACAAATTTTCGATATCGTTTTTCTTCTAAATCTCCAGTGATAGGAGTCTGAAATTTTAGTAACACTCTTTCATATTCATAAATAGTTTATTTCGTTACAGGAAAATTTTGTTCCACTTCCATATACTCTCAAGGTATCGCCTTTCGAAATTTGCAAAATTTGATTTTTTTTTCATCTTATATTTCTGATTCTGTAAGTTTTTCCAAATTTCTATAAGTACAGAAAGCTAACGGTAAATAAAAAATATAATTATTTTTCTTAACTCACGCAAATAACACTTAAATTTGAGGATTTTTCCAACTCTTCTCTACATTTTTTTTTGTTTTGTTTCGAACATTGCATGAACCCATCCTAAATGTATGCAATCCTCAAATTTTAAGAATGAAACTAATTTTAATAATGTAGTAGCTATGTACATGGATTGTTCTTAAAAGCAGTATTTTCACTTGTCCAGGGGGAAAAGTGCTACATTAAAAACCATTGGTTTGACCCAATTGCATTCTTACTCAGTCTCATTCATAAGGATTTTTTTTTTCCAAATTTTAAGCGATATTTTTATTAACAGTAAATTAACTTGAATGATAAAAAAAAAATTTTCAATGCGGTCGAAAATGTACTTATATCAATTTGTTTATATGCGAGATAGAGAAAGAGGAGTAAAGGGTTTACACGTATAATTGTTTTCTTTTCTTTATTGAAAATCGCTTAAATCTACATTATAAAAGTATAGTAAATAAATGGAATTACATCCCTATAAATATACATAATTATGTAAGTATGAAAATATTTTATTTAAGTTATTTTTTCAATGAAAATTTTTTTTATTAAATCAATTTCAGCTTTACCAATTTTTTTTTTTTTTTTGTAATAAGAGGTAAATTAAGCAATAAGATTTATTTGTTGAAGACATATTGTTAAAAGAATGATTAAATATCTGATAAAATATTAAATTAAGTTCAATATTTGCAGTAAGATTCGAATATTGTAGACAAAAGAGAGTTTAATTTGGTTGTAATTAAAAATACATAAATCTTTATTTTGTTTTTACTTATAATATTAAAAAATTGCTGAAAAAGGTGATTTTTGTTTTAACTTTTTCCTGTTAATTAAAAGGCGAGAATAGAGAAGGAACTCAAGTTGCATAATATAATCAGTTGGAATCTATTAATGCCATATTTTTGTTTCGTAACCTTAAACATTTAAATTATCGAAAATATTGCATACTTTTAGGGAAATATATAAAAACTGCATTACCATAATGGTCTAAATCAGAAATATAAGAGTTATAAGATAGCTTTTAATTATATATTTTCAGAACTTCCGAGATGATAAGCTGACAACAAATACTATTTTGAGACCAATAATTTTTAGAAGAATAGAAAAATGCAAGGACGGCAATACTTTAAATAAACAAACCCGTGCTTTATGTAGGGTTATAATTCCAGAAAAAATGGAGTAATGAAGGATCTTTTAATTTATAAAAATTTTAAAGATGTTGGAATATACTTCTCGAATATTGCATCAAAATATTGTATGTTAACATAAAAAATTTATTGAAACATGTAATCCCAATTGTAGAATAGTATATAAAAAATATTTCAATTTCTTATTCTTGCTTTAATAAAAAACAGTATTTCTAGAAACAAGAAATGTTTTTCCTTATTAAAATAATCCAGTAAAATCTCTGTTATTTAGGCCCAAAATAAAGAAACAAAACCTCAAATATGCTTATATTTTCAGGATATTTTCATTATACCCGTACGAACGTATGTTCGAAGGGTATACTAAATTTGCCTTACCGTTTGTAACGCTAAGAAATAACGGTGTTAGATATAGACTCAAGTGTATGTTTTTGATCAGCGTCAAATTCTGAGTTGGTTTAGCTTTGTCTGTCCGTCCGTCCGTCCGTCCGTCCGTCCGTCCGTCCGTCCATCCGTCCGTCCGTCCGTCCGTCCGTCCGTCCGTCCCAACGATAACTCAAAAACTAATAGAGCTAAGTTCACCAAATTTTCACAAATGATTTATTGTAGTAAGTGCCAGAACCCTATTTAAATTGGACATGATCGGGGTACCGGTTCGGGTAGCTGCCATACAACTTCAAAATTTATTTGGCTATATCTCAGAAACTATAAAAGTTGTGGTATTGAAATTTCACACAAACGAATATATTAGTAGGGCCAATGTGTCTCATAAAAGTCGTTGAAATTACTTGGCTCCTTCTGGTACCTGCCATATAACTTCAAAAGTTATTTGACTATATTTCAGAAACTATTAAAACTATGGTATTGAAATTTCACACAAACGAATATATTAGTAGGGCCAACGTGTTTCATAAAAGTTGTTGAAATTACTTGGCTCCTTCTGGTACCTGCCATACAACTTCAAAAGTTATTTGGCTATATCTTAGAAACTATAAAAGCTGTGATATTGAGATTTCACACAAGTGAATATATTAGTAGGGCCGATGTGCTTGATAAAATTCGCTAAAATTCCTTGGCTCTTTCTGGTAGCTGCCATACAACTTCAATAGTAGTTTGGCACAACCAGTATTTTGAAAAACACATAGTACTGAAATTTTGCATAAATTAATATAGTAATACGGCAACTTAAAGTCATAGTCTGCCCTATAGTTAGTTAAAGCACATTAATTATTCGCACATAGGATAACAAATTCGTACGGGTATCACAGAGTTGACAAGGTCAACTCTATTTTTTTTCTCGTTTTATATTAAAATTTTAACTGAACTGCTCTATTGTACAATATGACATTTAAAAAAATTTTTTTTTTAAATTAAAGTATGGTGCGAGTACACTTTATTGTATACAGAGAAACATTAGATCTCATCCAAAATTATAATTAAATAAAATAATAAACACGTAAAGAAGAAAATAGTCATGTTCATCCAATTCTTTAAATTATTTTAGCATGTTTTACAATATTTTTTATATAGTTAGGAATTTTCGAATTTATTGCCAAAAAAAAATAATTTAAATTTTTACTAATTTTCTTCTTGTCTCATTGGGAAACAAAAAATTATTTCACTCTTCATAAATAGTTATAAAATATTGCAGCCTACAGATGGTTATAGGATGAATAGATAAATTCATTGGTATATTAAAAATAGTAATATCCACACATACTAGGTACAATTGGTGCAGGTGTTTATCTACGAAGCATTCACTAAATATCGTTCAATGAATTTTTCAACTAAATATGAAGTTATTTTTCAATAATTTTTTCAAATATTTTCGATTTAATAATATAATCATTATATTTTCGATATAATATAATAATTATTTTCATATGTGTATATATGTGTGTATAATATTAGATATTCGAGATAAATATTCTATTCTATATTAGGAATAAGAATTTTTTTTGAGTTATTTATAAAAATAAAAAATAATACAAACTTACCTCTAATAGTCATTTGTGTTTGTAATAAAGAATCAGAATTAGGTAATTTTCCATTTATACTTGTAGATGCCGGTAATTCAATTCCAATTGCAGCTGATGATGATACTGATGATGATGAAGATAATCCTGCTGCCGATGATAATGATGATGTTAAAGCTTGTGGTGGTAATGGTATTCCAATTTCTATATTATCTTCATCTGATGCAGATAAAAATTGATTTTTTTCATTATTTATTTCTGATGATGATAATGATACCGATGAAGATGATGATGATACTGCAGAAGTAGCTAATGAAGTACTTAAACTATCTATAAAAATTGTTGATAATATTGAAGATGATGATTGTATTGATGATCCTGATGATGATACTGATAATGATGATAAATTCATTATTGTATTTATTGATGTTATTGTTGCTGTCGCTGTTGCTGTTGTTGCAGTTACTGTTATCATTGGTATTAATGTTGCATTTTGTTTATTTGAGTTTATTGAAAAATCACTATTACTACTACTACTACTACTATTAATACTATTATCGTTATTATTATTTTCTAATACTAATGATAATTCATTTGCTGATGCAATATATCCTAATAGTATATTATTACTAATACTATATTCATAATAATTATTATTATTATTACTATTTATACAATCACATGTATTATTAAAATATTTTTTTAAATTATTTTTATTAAAATTTATATTAAATTTATAATCGTATATACAATTACAATTATAATCACTGTAATAATTATTATTATTATTTTTAGTAATAGTAGTAGATTTGGTTAGCAAATTAATAAGAATTGATATAATTAGTATGGTGAATATTCGTTTTTCTATTGAAATATATGGTGAGTTTTGGCACAATATCACCACAAATAGCATTTTAAATGATTTTTGATTTTTTTCTTTATAATATTTTCTATTTAATTTTGTTAAAATTTTGATTATAATTAATAATTATTGAAAATTATATTTTCAGTTTTTGATTTTTGATTGTTGTTAATATTTGTCGACATTTTATTTATAATGTTGAAATGTTTGAAATCCTGGTGAGTTTTATGATGAATTTTTAATCAATAATGCTAATTAAATGCTAATAATTTTCAATGATTTCCAAAATTGTACATATTAAACAAAGAAATTCTATTTCTTTCCTTCAAAATTTGTTACCTAAATAAATATTTTCCAACTTTATATTTTTTTGTATTTTCATGTATTTTCACTTTAAATTCAAAAATTAAATTGAATAAATACAAAGAAGAAATTTTTTTTAGTAATTTTTTGTTTTACTGCTTTCTTATTCTTAAAATATTATATAGCTAAGAGAATAATAGTGTTGAGTAGCTTCTATAATATGCTGACAGTATGATAAACAATAAATAAAATGAAGAAAATCACAAAATATTATTTTCCACATAATTTCATTTTTTATTTCTTTGGAAAGGAGGAAGCACGAAATGAAAAAAATGTGAAAAGCGAAAGAGAACAACAATAATAACAGTAAAATAGCGTAGAAAAAAACATTACTCACAAAAACAAAAATTAATTTTTTTTTTCTTATTTTCTATGTAAGTTGTCCTTTTAGTCCTTGTTATTGTTGTTGTTGTTGTCGTTGGTCTGCTTTTTTTTCTCTTTTATTTCTAATTTTTTTTTTTCTTATATTTACTCTTCTTCTTTTATATTTTATTTATATACCGTAGTAATACAACAATTCTGTATTTTTTGTCTCTTTTTTCCTCCACGTCGTTTATTCCAATAACAACTACTTGCACGGAACTTTATTTAAAATATTTTTCTTCTTCTTTTGTTTTTTTATTTTTTTCCTTGAAATTTTTTATTTTTTTTTTAAATTTTGAGTACCCGATTTTTCCCTTTCTTCTTTTCTCTCTCTTCTTCTTTTAGTCTCTATCTGCATGTTTTTCTTTTTATATTCTGATGAAATATTTCCCATAGGCTTTTCATTTCATTACTAAAAATGATATAAATCCCATCATACTATGTCGACTTTGGTTTTTTAATACAGATAAATGTATGTATATATGACTGTGTACTGTGAAGAAGATCACATTGATATCGATATAATGATGATGTTGATTATATAACAAAAAGTTGATGATGATTATGATTTTACTGTCGTCAATTTGGTAAATTTGTTTTTCCTCACATTTTAGCAAATATTCTTCTCGCAATATTGCTTTATAAGGGTTTTTTTTTTTGTTTTTGGTAATTGGAAATGTAGAATTTTGGTAAAAAGAAAAATTTGTGTTGTCTGCCGGTATTGTTTGTTATTAGAATCAACGAAAGTAGTAATAATTTACTTACTCTGCGCTTAAAATTTTTTGATGTTGTGATCGAGTTTTTTTTTTTTTTTGAGTACCAAATATAAATGTGGAAAAATCGTAATTTTTTAAATTGTCCTTTTGAAAATTTGAAAGGAAAACTTTATTTTAGATTTCACATTTTATTTTTTTTGATTTTAATGAAATGAAAGGGCAATATTTGAACGTTAATGGTTTCAGTTTACTTAGTTTTTTTATTTTTTTCTTTACACTTTTCACTCAATATTTAATTTTTTTTTTGTACGTACTTAATTGGTTTTATGGTTAATATTGTTATCTCTTTTGTGTTTATTAAAAGTTTACTTATATCTATAAATATAAATTTTTATGTCTATTTTTTATTATTGTAAATATGACGATAACATTAAATTTTTAACATGCTAAAAAATAAACTTAAAATTTTTGCAATTTTTATTTGCTTTTTCTTTATTTTTTTTGAAATTTATTTGATATTTATACCCGTACGAACGTATGTTCGAAGGGTATACTAAATTTGCCTTACCGTTTGTAACGCTAAGAAATAACGGTGTTAGATATAGACTCAAGTGTATGTTTTTGATCAGCGTCAAATTCTGAGTTGATTTAGCTTTGTCTGTCCGTCCGTCCGTCCGTCCGTCCGTCCGTCCGTCCGTCCGTCCGTCCGTCCGAACGATAACTCAAAAACTAATTGAACTAAGTTCACCAAATTTTCACAAATGATTTATTGTAGTAAGTGCCAGAACAGTATTTAAATTGGACATGATCGGGGTACCGGTTCGGGTAGCTGCCATACAACTTCAAAATTTATTCGGCTATATCTCAGAAACTATAAAAGTTATGGTATTGAAATTTCACACAAACGAATATATTAGTAGGGCCAATATGCCATATAAAAGTCGTTGAAATTACTTGGCTCCTTCTGGTACCTGCCATACAACTTCAAAAATTATTTGGCTATATTTCAGAAACTATTAAAGCTATGGTATTGAAATTTCACACAAACGAATATATTAATAGGGCCAATGTGTCACATAAAAGTAGTTGAAATTACTTGGCTCCTTCTGGTACCTGCCATACAACTTCAAAAGTTATTTGACTATATTTCAGAAACTATTAAAGCTATGGTATTGAAATTTCACACAAACGAATATATTAGTAGGGCCAATGTGTCTCATAAAAGTTGTTGAAATTACTTGGCTCCTTCTGGTAGCTGCCATACAACTTCAAAAGTTATTTGACTATATCTCAAAAACTATAAAAGCTGTGATATTGAGATTTCACACAAGTGAATATATTAGTAGGGCCGATGTGCTTGATAAAATTCGCTAAAATTTCTTGGCTCTTTCTGGTAGCTGCCATACAACATCAATAGTAGTTTGGCACAACCAGTATTTTGAATAACACATAGTACTGAAATTTTGCATAAATTAATATGGTAATACGGCAACTTAAAGTCATAGTCTGCCCCATAGTTAGTTATGGCACATTAGTTATTCGCACATAGGATAACAAATTCGTACGGGTATCACAGAGTTGACAAGGTCAACTCTATTTTTTTTCTCGTTTTCATTTAAAATTTTCTTATTAACATAACAGCATTCATAATTGAATTTTGCCAATATTTCTACAATATTATTTATTTTTATTAAAAATTATTATTAAATATCAAACAAATTATCAAATTGAAATTGTCAAGGTAATTAGTTATGGCGAGAATTATCAAAGAGAAAGCTCTTCCGTACAAGCTAACTGTATAACATTTTTATGAGATTTCCAAATACTCTTCTTCGTTTATAATAACAAAATAGATTTGAACTTGAAACTACAGTATAATTGGGTGTTTTCTATTATGTTGTAAATCCCGCGTTGGTTAAAAAAAAGACACAAATTATTAAATCTAAATTAAACACAGGCTTCTTAATTGGACTTAAAACTTCTATTTTTGCGTTATATGGAACTCAAGGCTATTTTATTTACGTATATATTGAAATAATATTGTAAAGAAATTTTACCAAATCAATTAAATTCTAAAAAACAATCAATTTTATGTTATACAATCGTAATCATATCTAAAGAACATTGTTAGCGAATCACAAATAACCATGGATATGACAAAAATTAGATCATTCTAAAATTTTAATTATACACGTTTGAATTCCATTAAAATTTTAAATGCAAAATATGTCAATATCCCCGTATAGCACTTGAATAAAATCATATATAAAACATGTCCAAAAAACAAAGCAAAAATCAATTATTATAAAACCTCTATAAATTCTTTTAACAAAACTCAATACCATATTATATTGCATTCATTAAGGGAACCTATAGTTCTTTAACATATACATCATAAATAAAATTATTGTTTAACAAATTACAATAAAGTCTAATTCAAAATAACTTAATTTTATTAGAGCACATTCCATATTATATGTATACGCATACATATTAATATTTAAGGATATTTTAGATCTCTATATAAAATAGAAATTAACAAATTTGTCTATTTGACGAAAATATTTCTTAGCCTCATATAAAAGTATTGCTATCATTATTAAATTTATGAAAATAATTTTTTGTCATAATATCTCTTATATTATGCTTACGATTATAAAAAAATTTTATTATTCTGGAAAACACGTTTTTGTGTGATGGTAATCAAAATCATCAATACTGAATATTCGAATATTAGATGCCATAAAATAATGATATGGCTATCTGAAAACGATAATCCATTCAATAATCAATGAATATATACACAAACACACTTTATAGACGTTATACACTTTCAATACGAAAACATTCTAAAATACTCGTATCAATAATATTCAAAAGTTTATATCCATATACATATATACCTAAATATTAGAAGGATTAATTGGAAATTTCCCATCAAATAATTTATAACTGGTATATGAAAATACAAAAATCTAATCTTATTAGTAATCAATTTTTTTTTTTGTTTATTTGATCTACTCTAATTCATTTTATATAGAATAATTTATTTTATAAATTCGCGATATCTGAAATAGCAAGGATTTTAATAGGAGGATTATCATTGATGTTTTTTTTTTTTGAATGAGAAGTTATCAATTTAAACGCAGCTGCATTATTATCAATTATTTATTAAAATATCTTTTGATCCGTTTTATGAGACGTAAATATATTTTGGTTATTATTGAAGAAAATAATTTCGACAAGCTCGACCCAGCTGATTTAGAACGCTGTAATTTTAACCTACAGGTGACAGATGACAGGGGACACATGACAGATGGCAGATGACAGGTGACAGAATGACAGTTGACAGATGACAGGTGACACAT